GCTCTGAAATTTAAAAATGATAGCAGAGTTGTGTGGGATGGATGGATACTATGCCTAAAAGAGACCTGGAAAAATAAGAAAACAGATTCCACAGGATGTAGTGAGAAATGGACTTCAGGATCTATAAGAAAGGTGCACGTGGGGATGACTTACATTTCTAGTGGGTGCTGTTACATAATCATCAGCAACACAAAAAAAATGAGATCAAAGTTGGAAAAAGGTTTAGAGAGGTTAAGGATGCAGAACAGGAAGATCTCTGTAGTTAAAGACAATACAGAATATACGCAGGTAAACGGGGGCTTGATAAGGCAGGGTGAAGTTGGAAGCAAAGATCTTAGACAAATACTATTGTTGAAATCAGAAGAATGGTTGAGATAGACCCACAAATCATCAACATGAGAAAAGTGAACTAAAGGTCTGAAGATTAAGCTCTATTCTGCATGTTTGCTTTCATATATAAACTTATATATGTACGTAAAATTCTCTCTCTTCCTCCCTGTCGTACCTCTGTCTCCCTGTCTCTGCTTTTCTGCCTCTTTCTCTGTCTCTCTGTTTCTCTCTCTGTTTCTCTCTCTCTGTTTCTCTCTCTCTGTTTCTCTCTTTTTTTCTGCCTCTTTCTCTGTCTCTCTGTTTCTCTCTCTCTGTTTCTCTCTCTCTGTTTCTCTCTCTCTCTCTCTCTCTCTCTCTCTCTCTCTGGATATAGGTCATGAAATCAGAAATGGGATCATGAGAGGTATAAAAAATGGTCTTAGAGAGGTATAATAGAATGTATTTGACATGAAGTTTCTATGGGGCTACTGGAGAAACGAAAGGGGGCTAATGGCAGAGGCGGGAGGACAGGAGAGAGGAGTAGGGAAGGAAGATGAACAGAAACAAAGTTGTATGAAATTTCCATGATGAAGCTCACTACTGTAATTGCTAATTTTCTTTCTCAAAATGTGAATTTGAAAAGACACAGCAAGGCCTTTCTTGCCATGAAATTGATGTGATGGATTTGATATTTTTTGTGGATGCTCACACTGATTTTACCTTTATCTCATTTTTTGGTTCTAATTTATGTTCAAAAGTAAAACCTTATTAAGTGCATGTGCTATGCCTGAGTCAACTATTGCACATCACGAAAACTTGTATTTGTGTACCATATTTAATTATAACAGAAAATTTTCTCCATTATTTCAATATGTCGGAAAACAGGTTAAAAATGCAATGATTCATGCTAGCATAGTTCTCTGGATGGTTCTGAAGTCCTATAAGGACATGGAAGCTTTTGCACAAATTGTAGCTTGTGAAAGCAGGCGCTGCTTTGATATTCTCTCAGTACATGGAAATCATACTATTTTCTAGTCCCATAAACAATTATTAAAGGCCAGTTACACTTGGATTTTCCTGTCTGACTATGTATAAGTAAATTTCAAGTAGATGTCAGCATTGTTTTCTGTCATCTTTTATATAATAACTGGCCAATTATGCTGGTCTCCATTTTAGCCTTCTTGCCACACAATCTAACAAAATACTGCTTCTCTATCAGAAAAAACAATGTCTGTAAAATTCTTCTCCCTCAAGGTCTACTTCAAGTACTACGTCATCAGACACTACCTTTACAATTCTCAGAATTGCCATGGATTTTAAATAGGATAATACATATAAATTATGTGAAATATTATGTGGCACAGCACATTACAAATGATATTTTTGTTACTCATGTAAATCCTATAATATATCTAGTTAGGCATTCCAATCCATGAGTTTGAATAGGAAAAGAAATATGAGCTTACAATGTACCTGGGAACTTCCTAAAACACAGCTATATATTGAGCTATGAAAGCAAGAGAAAATATTCACAGAGAAAATAAACCTGTGCACATTTATGAGAACATACACATTTAGATGAACATATGTATGTCGATATATAAATAAATATGCATAAAATTTTAATAGATGAGATGACATAAAATCTAGAAGATGTACCTGGGAGGTTAGTAAACAAGAAACACACTACCAACACAGAAGAACTAGAGGTATTCAGAGAGCAGGAGTTGAGAATGTGGCCAGAAAAGAAAAGACAGCAACATTTTCAAGGAAGGTGATCAATGGGGACAAGTAGCCAGAAATGGAAAGAAATTATTGGATTTTGAAATTAGGCGATCACAATAGACTTTTCTTGGGAACTGTGAGAAACCTGAGTTGTGAAAGGTAATTTAGAAAATACAGAAAACAAGTATAGATTATTCTTTTAGAAACATGGGTTGCAAAATGCAAAAGGGAGATGAGAGGCTAGTAAGAAGTGGGCATCAGATGAAATAAAGGTGGAAGGGTGTGGGACCTGAACAATACTACTAAACTGAAGGGAAATCAATATGCATATATGAGTTGCCTCCTACCTGTTTCTTAAACTACTGAATATAATGCAAATCCTATCACAGGCAAAACAGAAAACATCTGTGAGAATTTAATAACCTATTTTAAAATAAAAAGGAGGAAAGGTATAGAGTTATTATTTAAAAATATAATTAGTGCTGTATTTTCACAGAATTACTTCCTGAGACTATAATAACATTTTGAGAAGTCTCAGGATACTACTAAAATAGAAAGGTAATTATGTTAAAATACAGCACTAATTATATTTTTAAAACACAGATTTAAACTTTTGTTTCTAATTTCTGTATTCTGAAGATATATTTCAACTACACAGGATATTTTTTTATTCCATTAAATACTCCTAATAAACGCACTTCACAATTCTTGTGAGAGTACTAGGCTCTGAATATAATAAATTACTAATTTTTGTAGCTCACTAAAATAGGAAATTTCAAATTGTAGTATGCATATGTTTGCATGTATAATCAGTATTCAACAGTTTCTTGAATATTTAGCAAGATGTCTGTGATTCTTCCATATGTTCCTTGTTAAACATTAGCCACTTCATCATTCCATTCAGTGCAGCATCATAGAGGCCAGCAAATGTCAGTCCTGTCTTACAGTCTGAGTAAAACTACACTACAGGGGAAGTGTCACTTGAACGTCTATTTGACACTATAATGGAGAAAAGATGCAGTACATAGATACTCGTAGCACAAAGACTTAAGTTCAAATCATCGTTGTAACACTTAGCTGTATGAATCTGAGTAGTTATTTGTGTTCCCTGCAATAATGTGCCCTGTTCATTAAACAGAAGATAATATATAACACACAAAACTGTGGTTAAAATTTCATTTAAAGAGAAATTTAGGGGCTGGCAATTGGCTCAGTGGTTAAGAGCACTGGTTGCTACTGCAGAAGAACCAGGTTCGAATCCCAGCACCCATATGGTGGCTAGCAATCATCCTTAACTCCAATTCCAGGGGATCCAATGCCCTCTTCTGTCCTCCAAAGGTCACTGCTCAACACAGGTGCAATTACATACAGGCAGGTATAACATCCATACATATAAAATTTAAAAAATTCAGAAGAAATTTTTAAAAAACAAAAATATTTAAATATTTAAATGTACTTCACCCCTGTAGGGCAAACTGAGTTAAAAATGAAATGAAAACTTTAAATCAAAATAAAATACTTCAGTCCTCCTAAACAGAATTGGCAAAACAAGAAGGTACAAATTTATATATTTGTTTAGGGGTCAAAGAATGCTAGTTAGGTAAGCACAGGAACAAAGACATCTAGAAATGCAGACTTTAATCCCTCAGGAGAAGTTTGAAATTTTATTGAGACTCAAATTTATTATAAAAGCTGCACTGCAAATGGAAAACACTGTGGAAAATCTCAATTAAAGAATAATGCACTTAATATAAAGCATAGGAAAATGTTTGTCAAAAATGCTGATCATAGTTGAAGTATGAAAATAATTTTAAAAGATACTTAAATATTTTAAGAAGTAACATATATAGTTTCACAATACTACACACTCTTTTAATGTATCTGGCACAGTTTCAAATTATGGCATGAAAGGTGTCAATACTTCATAACACAATAAATATGGAAATATCAGTTGTGCTTCTTTCACACCAAACAAGAAATTTTCATACTGATATACCCACTACTAATGAATAATCTGATGAAATTAAATGAGAAATTAAATTAAACAGCATCAAATTCTGGCTCCTACAAACTATGTCAATGTGGACAAGTGATAATTTCACTCAGCCTATTCATATGAAGAAATGCATAATAATACTTATAAGTATGGTTTGTTGTGAGCATTAAATAAAATGATACATGCAAATTAATCTATGGTGTTCAGGAGCTCATGTCTTAAATATGAGCTCTCATCCCTGAAGACCACAATAGTTTTTCAGAGAATGAAAAAATCTAGGTCCTTACAGTGTTATCCCAAGGTCCCTGACACAAGAGTTGTGATTCAGTTCCCTTTATGATGGTGAATAAGACTTTGATTGTTGTTTGAATGGCACAATGAGAATTATATTGAATTTTCTTCTTGAGTTGTTTGGTTATTTGTTCTGTTCTGAGAAAATGTGTATCACTGTAAGCCACGCTGGCCAGGAAAATGGACTCCTCCTGTCTCAAATTTCTGACTACTAGGATTACCATGGTATACCAGGATGCCTGCCTATTTGCTTACATGTCTACAAAAGCCCACAGCTGCATTATCCTTGTTAGGATAATGATACTTTTTGCCCCAGATTATTGCTAAGGTTTCAAGTTTTCATTACTTACTAAACTATGATTTCAATGATAATAATGGGAGCCACATTAAGTAATAGAGAAGAAGTGATTTTTTTTTTTGAGAAAAAGTCTCATTATGCAGCCTTCCATGACCTGGAATTCAATAGAGAAGTAGATCAGGGTGGCCTGGAAATCAGAGATCTGATTTGACACGCATGTTCAAAATGATTTTCTTAATTTTAAATTCATTATTATTTTACAAACAAAATGATGAGTAACATGATCATTTTATTTTTACATTCTAATCCACTTAAATGCCAGCTGAAAAGGAATTGGTGTTAGACACAACTCTTCAACAATTCAAGACGAAACTAGCTCACCTGTAATTGCAAAGCTTCATGATTTTCTAGTCCTTCCACAATTGGTGAAAATCGTTCTCTGTTATTTCTCTCAGCTGCAGCAGTTATCGCCCCCAATAGTTTGTCTAGACTATATATAAAAAAGAGAGAAAATAAAAATGAGAATCACTTTCTATGCATATATTTTGAGCAAGCGTTATCTCTTCAGTTTTACCTATCTTATCCTTAGCGTTTCATATTTAAATAGGCCATTACGATTTTGACATTATTTACTTTTAATAGATGCACAAACTTGCATATTATTTAGTGTTCAACATAATGTTTTAAAACATGCATACATTGTGAAATAGATAAATAAAACTAATTAACACATGAGTTATTTCACTTTTTTCTGTATTAAGTGAAACCTTTATAACCTATTTTCATGGCTTGAGTTTAAAGTTCAGCAGAGATGTGCTTGCTGAGCATGCAGGAGGCCCAGGGTTCAGTTGGAAAGACAATAGATAGCACTAAGCAGGATCTCACTTTATTCTAACAGAAAGGAGGTATCCAACATATGAGAACATATTTATATCTTTGCACGGCCCTGTATTAAGTCAAAATAACATTATTACTGCATTCTGAACAGCACAGTAACATTATTACTGTATTCTGAAGAAATAATTCAGTTCATGTTCTTAACATACAATCTCATTTTTCAATTATTTCTATTTATTGATGATTCCATGCGAGTATATGATATATTTTGGTCATTTTCATCCCCTATAACCCTCTCTCATTATATTTCAATTTAATGACTATGGTTTCTTACAAAATGGACTTATCAATGACACCACATCTGAAATTGATTTTTAAATCAACATTATATGCATAAGATGTAAACTAATACATCTTCAGCAATATCTACAAAAGCCCACAGCTGCATTATCCTTGTCAGGATAATGATACTTTTTGCCCCAGATTATTGGGGCATACATACATACACACATACATGCATACACAAAAATGTACATGCATGTATACATGAGTGGAGATATACATATATTTTTTTCAACATGTTGAAAAAATGTTTTATGGATTGCAATGTGAGATGAAGTAAATACTAACATAAAATTGTCCACAATAAAGGCATCTAGTTGATTCAGTTAGTCAAATTGGAGGATGTGCATCAAGGAGTGTGTGTGTGTGTGTGTGTGTGTGTGTGTGTGTGTGTGTTTCCTCTGTGTATATCTGCTGAAGTAACTGAATTTTTTACCACTTTTCCTACTAACAGCTTCAGCAAAACAGAATTCTACTTATCTAATTTAAATTAATATTTAAGGAATCTCTCATTATATAGCTACATATTGAAAGTTAGATTTCATAATATTCCAAAAAAGGCAAAATAAAAGCAAGGAAAAAAATCAGAAAAATATTTTCTAACAGCTAATACAATTTTCTGTAAGTAATCACAAAGAGGCCAGGCATGGTGACATTTAATGCATTTAATCACAGCATTTAGGAGGTAGAGGCAGTGTGAGATCGAGGCCAGCCTAGTCTACAAGGTGAGTTCCAGGCCAGCTGGGGCAACAGGGAGATTCCGTCTTTAAAACAGGTGGTGGGGGTGGTGCTGGAGAAATGACTCATTGATTAAGAGCAATGACTGCTGTTGCAGAGGACCCAGGTTCAATTCCCAATACCCACATGGTGGCTAACAACTGTAAATCCAGTACCAGGGGAATCTGATGTCCTCTTCTGACCTCCACAGGCATTGCACCACATATGTTACACTGATATACATGCATGCAACACACTCATACACAAAAAAATAAATAAATAAAATTTTTATTAAAGAGGGAACGTGCAAATGAGCATTAGATGAATAATTTTTCAATTATCCTTTTTCAGTATATAAAACAGTAATACTTACATGTTCTCTTCCCCAACAATGCAAATAGCAGAAAGTATTTTTACTATTTCAGTCATCATGTTGGGTTGTTTGGGATCAATTGCTCTTGCCAACAATAAAAGACTCCTTTCATCTCCAAGAATCCTTTGCAATCCAAACTAAAGAAAATAAACAAAGAAACAAAAAAAAATTAAAACTGGAAATGACATAGAACATATTTTTCATTTAAAATAAACCCAAAATACAGTGTTTTTCTAAAACAGTGCCTTTACAATAACACTACACTTAATTATGTAAATGTTGTTCAAATGCACGTATTGTTTTCATATTTCATTTTGTATGACTTTATCTTAGAATTTGTGTGCCTTCATAAAAAAATGGTTTCCATTACAGTTGAATAAAATTTTAATAAAGATTTGTGAGAAATATGCCAACAATGAAAACTTCTGAAGTAAACAAGAACATATAAGGCACATATGGCAGTATTTTCAAAGCACTTCTCTTTATGTCACTTGCTGTCCTTAGAGAAGTCTGGAATCAATGATTAAATTGTCCAATATATTTTCATTGAAAATTAAGCAGATAAGAAACGTAAAATGTTAAAGATAATAAGCACCAAAGTATACTATAATCGCTGAAATAAGCAATAACTTTGGTTTGGATTTCCCCCTATTTTCTTGCTCTTATGCCTCCACTCTAAAGCAGCAACAAAAGTTATGGACTCAAAGACATAGCACTTGGGTTTTATTACATGTCCAAATCAATTAGGCAAAGAAAATAAATTGTGGCTTGAGCCCTGAAAGCTCTGGGTTTTTTTTTAATTTCATTTACTTTCTATGCATAAATTCAAGTGTGTGTGCACGTACATACTCGAATGCGAATAAATACATAATGTCTTACAAAGAAAAAGAAATTTTTTGTCTTTTTGGAGCCCCAGCTGACCTGGTAATCACTATGTATACCAGGCTGGACTCAATCTTACAGAGATCTGCCTGTCTGCCTCCCTAGAGCTGGAATTAAAGATGTGTGCCACCATGCCTAGCTGAGACCAAAAAAATTATAATAAGGTAGTGTTTTCTTTCATTTCTGTATTACACAGTATTTAACAGCTTTCTTGTGAAATGTTTGCTTCATTTTAGAGTAACATGATGAAGTTAAAACATTCCACTGAAGAATATTACAAGGTAACCTTTAGCAAAGTAATAAACATGAATGGTAGGATTTCTTTTTTTAATGTTTATTTATTATTTTTATTTTATGTGTATGAATGTACTGCCTACAATGTGTATGAGTGTGTATTACCTGCATATGTGCAAGTGCACCCATGTTGTGCAGTGCCCAAGGAGGTCAGAAAAGGATGACAGATCCCTTGGAACTGGAGTTATGGATGGTTGTTTGTTAGCCACCATGTCGGTGCTGGGAATCAAACCTGGGTCCTCTGTAAGAGGAGCCAGTGCTCTTAACCACTGAGTCATCTCTCCAGCCCCCAAAAGTAGGATTCTTAATGTGCTTTCTAAGAGAAAAGGGGGGCACACCTAAAATTCTGATTTATGACTTTACCAGGGATCATAATAAATAAGGAAACATGGAGGCAAAAAACACTTTCTGAAGTAAGTAACCTAAACTCCAAGAGCCAAAAAATTGATTCTTACATAAAATGAATGTATCACTATACATTTTCTATTCTGAATGTGTATTTT